CACTTTTTTTGAAATTACATAAAGACTATGAGAGGCAGGAGCCAGCAATTTATGGTGAGTGAAGCTAGAGTATAGACCTGTATTTTGCATGTTTCAATTCAAGTTTAATTTAGCTAGTAAAAAATGGCATCATTTATAAAAAAAAGTGGTCTAAGTTACCCCATTTTACGGTACCTACTTCACGTTCAATGCTCCTGCAGAACGTAATAACAAGTCAACCCACAACGTTTCCTTGAAGATTGCTTAGTTGTGGTCACCTCAGAGCAGTCAGATTGCATTATCATGTGTTCAGTTACCACTTAAGTGGAGAGAAATGTTAGTGTTGCTGTTTGATTACTGTTTTTAGGCTAAAATTAGAGATTTGGGGTAATAAGTGCATGGGACTTTGTAAATAAGTTTGTGGCTTGTAATGGCTTTTTATGGCCAAGAAATAGGGAATCGTCGCTAAAAGAAATGGAATCACGGCTGGCAAACGCATAAAACCATGGTTCAAAAAATCCTGTCGCAGCTTGCCAAGTAGTTGAAGTAGATAGGCTATATTCCATGCCTGTGCATGAGCATGTCATCTAGATAAATCAATATGTGTGGCTGTAATTCATACCCTGTAAGCTGCTTAAACAGACATGGAATATATCTACTTGTAACTTAGTTAGCCGTGACTGGATTTTTTGAGCTGTGATTTGCCAGCCGTGATTCCATTTCTTCAAGCCGTGTATTCAATATCTCAGCCCAGCCATGAAGAGCCATTTACAATCTGCAAACTTATTTACCAAGTCTTGTGCATGTGTTACCCCAAATCTCTAATTTTACCCTAGAAACAGCAACAGTAATATTTGTCTTTACTGTAGTGGCAACTGAACACATGATAATGCAGTCTGACCACTCTTATGTGACCGCAACTATGGGATCTTAAATAAAACGTTTTGGCTTGACTCATCACCATTACGTTCTGCAGGATATTTTTGCGGAAACATTACAGTCCTGCGGATTGCAGAAGTGGAAAATTAGGTGAAATGACATGTTTGCAAAATGCCAACCGCAATTTTTTCAAACAAAAATATCTGAAGTTAGAGCCACAAGATTTCATACCTACTGAAATTATATGATATAAGAGCTACAATATTTAAAAAAAAAGTACCTAGTACTTTTTCCAACCCGTGCTTAAAGAACAGGAGAACAGGAGTACTTATGCTTGTTTGGCTTATAGCCTTCTCATGGCTTGTTGCTTCTGCATTGTTTAGGAGCTAGAGAACACCAGAGTTTATGCCTGTTTAAATAAAAAAACTGACTTGGCAATTAAGGTTTAGGCAATTCACTTGTGTTCAATATCCTCTTTACCTCTGGCAGTATCCAGTATGGGGTTCCTTTAGTAATATATTTAGTCTTATCAGCCTTTAACATTGATTGCTGATAAAAATGTTGGAAATAGTTCACACACAAAATAAAATATTTAAAAAAAAATTTTTTTAAAAACCACGTTTTTCTTGTGGACTAAAAAGTAGAAAATAAATTATGGCTCGCCTAAAAAAAACGTGTGTTGGGCAGATTTATGATTAAAGCGAAAAACAGACAACACACGAATTTTGGAAATTTGATGGTGAACGTACAGCCCGACCCACGTTTTTTTTGAGGCGAGCCATAATTTATTTTCTACTTTTTAGTCCACAAGAAAAACGTGGTTTTTAAAAAATGTTTTTTTTTTAATATTTTTATTTTCTACTTTTTAGTCCACAAGAGAAACGATTAAGACTTGATTAAGTATGACTCAATGTAAGTATTGATGATGCGCAGCGTCAGCGCCTGCTTATCTATAACGTGAGCGCCCGCACGTCATACTATATATATAGTATATATATACTTTACTCAATTAAGCTCATTTAGGTCTCTAATTGCTAGTTTTTATGATTGTATCTGAAATTGTTAGGCGAAAATAGCCTGCATGCCGAATTTCAGATCTCTAGAGCAATCAGAAGTAGGCTAATTTTTGTTGTCAATGTTAACAACAAACAAACAAAGGCGAAGCTGAGTAAAGAAAAAAACGTGTTAAAAAATAAGAATGTACATTCATTTGCTATTTTGCTGTTCAATTGTCCAAGAGATAATGTTGGTTCTTAAACATTTTTGGTCCTAGCATACCAAATAGCCTTGTGTGTAGTATATATATATATTAGTATATGCTGGCAAAATTTGTTCCTTTAAGCAGGTTTCATTGAAGACGAGAGAATTCATTTTATTGACAATTTTCTTATTAGTTTGTTAAAGAAATAAAAAATATGTCCTTCAGTAATCTGATTTTCGATTTGACTGTGCAAACTAAAAATCTTGTTTGATCTATTGAAAAACTAATAAGAAAATTGTCAATAAAACAAATTCTCTGGTCTTCAATGAAACATATATATATATATAGGTATATAGGTACCTATATATGTAACACTGTAACCATAATTATATATAGACAGATGGGGTAAGACAGGACTAAAATCACTAACAAGCCTGTAGCATCTATACCATGAATAACTAAAAAACCATAAACCTATCACAAGGTGTAGTTATGCAATGGGCTTCTAAGCTACAACTCAGACTTTTGCATCTAACATAGTTTTCTGTACAGATTAAAAAAAGTGAGCTGGTCCCATCTTACCCCACTGGGGTAAGATGGGACCAGGCATGGGGTAAGACAGGACCAACTGGTAATTCTTATGTTACAAGGTTTTTAATAAAAGTACAAATCTGATATTCAATATTATCCATCTAGAAACACATTATTTGATTGAACAACCACTTGTTACTGTTTTGTGTTGCGGGAAGTCAACTCTAATACTATCAGTCACATTGAAGTTTTTGTCACGAGAAAACTTTGTTAAGCATAGTAGTAATAGTGGGTTGGCTTTGGTTCATTGTTGAGCACTGCTAAATGCTTCATGTATATTCCATTAGTGTCATTGTCTGAAAAATTTATCAAATTGGTAATAAAACCAATGGATAATAACTTAAGAGTCAGACGTCATGTGTTTTCTTGCTAACTGCATTTGTGGTGCACTTCTTCAAACATAGCTCATGCCCTCTCACAAAGTTGTGATAATAATTATTTTTCATGTTTCACACAGTGATTTTTCCCCCAGATAATCTTGCACATACTAGTTCTGTAGCTCACTAATGGGAATAGACATCCCTATTTTCTATATCCCTTTGATGCAATTTAAAATAATGCACTAAATTTCTCTAATTAAAAAAGCTAACAAGTTATAATGAAGTCTGAGCAAAAGATAAAAATTTTGACTAAAATACTCCATGTACTACACAATAATATATGCATATCAAAACTATTTTTGATAAACTTTAGGGTAATAGAGGACCATTTGTGGGGTAAGATAGGACCACTTGTGTTGTAAAACAGGACCATTTAGTGGTCCCGTCTTACCCCATGTCCGGTCCTTTTTTACCCTATTTTAGAATACATGTCAGGCAGTGATGGTAGCAGGTAGGAATGCCTAATGTCTCAAAAGTTGCTTATTACTTGCAGTTACCTGCCTACATCCACAAACCTGGCCAAAAAAATTTTTGTCATTAGATAGAGCTTATTTCCCAAATAGGGTTAACTATTTTGTGACCCTTCTTTACATAGGTTTCCTTTAAAAATTAGCCAGAAATTCATTATTTGCCGAAGAGTGTTGCCACAAACACTGAAATGACAGGCAATGATTGTTCTAACATATTCTTTTGTCAAATTAAATTCAGTACAATTAGAATGCACACCATGGGCTGGTCCTTTCTTACCCCATGAAGGCTGCGATCCTGTCTTACCCCATTTGACTATAATAAACTTGCTCACTTTTTCAGGTGAAGTTTTAGGACATTGTTTTTGTTTTTGGGTTTCAGATTTTTAGTTTCTTGTCAGAATGAGTGATAAGGTTGTTATTCTTTCTGCTGTTAGGACTCCTATTGGTGAGTTTCTATGTTTCAAATGATAACCGATAATTTCACAGGATAGGATGGAGCTCCACATTTGTATTCTGATTGTTTAAAAGAGAATTATATTATGGGGTTGAAATATTTATGTTATTGGTTATGGCTTAGAAACTGCTGAAACATCTGTCTATGCTGACATCTTTGCTTTGTCTTTACCACTGTATGTTGGAATTAAAAGGCAGATGGCACTTAATTCTGATTGTTTTGACATGATTAATAAAACCAGAAAGCAAGTTATCTCTAATACTAATGATCTTCTATTAATGAGGATCCTTCTCAGGATTCTAAATAAATAACTTTATGTAAAATAAATTAGTTTTAGTTGAGACAATTAAACTTCAATTGGTAACCAGAGAAAATTGCTGTTAAATTTGTGCTATTTATTGAGCCATTTTGAGATTTGTCTCAATAGACTGTGATAACAAGAGCTTTGTATTACCAGGAACTCAAATTATTAGAGGGGGCAAAAAACTTAATTGCTTTTGAATTGATACTGTTTGATTAATTTTATAGGCTTATTGGAAAGTGGCTTAAAACTTAACATTCTTTTGACAAAAATAATGCAATATAAGATATATGTACACTTCTAGATTTAGGCCTTATGTAGGCTAATCAATAATTGATTTCCAATTTAAACTTTAAATTTTTAGTCATCTGAAACTGCATTATTTTCTCTCAATTCATCATTATATGAAATTATGAATTGATACTCCAGGAAGCTTCAATGGCTCACTATCAACTGTACCTGCACATAAGCTTGGAGCGGCCGTCATGAAGGAGGCCATCAGCCGCGCTGGTGTAACGCCTGACAGCGTGTCAGAGGTCATCATGGGGCAGGTACCAGTATATATAATCTTCAATGATGAGGCAAATGAATCTTTACAATTTGATGAGGTGCAATAACTGATCACAGGTATAAGAAGCTTTATGATATGTATCTACATATAATATTTAATTATAAGGTGTTGAATGCAATGGCCATTTAGTACCAGCTGCAAATGCAAATTATTTGTGAAGGGATATTTCAGTACCAGCAAAACATCCTCATCTAATATATCACAGGTTTCATCTGACTGTTAGGTCAAACATGATGATATCTTGAAAATGAAAACTTGAGAATAACATTAATTGAAAGAATCATTCATAACTGTTGGATTACTCAAAGAAATCATTTTTGTAGGTCCTAACTGCTGGCTGTGGCCAAAACCCTGCCCGTCAGGCAGCAATGGATGCTGGCGTTCCCTTCCCAGCACCTGCCACCTGCATCAACATGCTTTGTGGGTCAGGACTAAGGTATGAATTGTTCCATTTACTATATATACAACTTATTGTCAGTGTTACTCTCATATTAGTTTCAAATGCCTTAAATGCATAGGTTATTTTTTCAGTTAGAATGCCATTTAAAGATAATACTAGAATGTACTTTCAGGTCTGTGGTGCTTGGGTACCAGTCACTGCGCTGTGGAGATGCGTCAGTGGTGGTGTGCGGTGGACAGGAGAGCATGAGTCAGGCTCCTCATGCTTTGCTCCTCAGGTCTGGTGTCAAGATGGGCAATGCTACCATGATCGACACCATGAACCATGATGGACTCACTGATGCCTTCCTCGACTACCACATGGGAGTCACTGGTAATCTTTTACTTTTGATATTTTAAATGCAAGCAATGTAGTTAACCCTTACACAACCATCTACATAATACTGGAAAGTAACATCAATAAGTGGTTGATGATGAATCAGAAATTTGCATGTTAAGAAACTGCACGCCTGAGTCCTAGTCCTGGTCTGTGATCAATAATATGATAGTGTGTAAATATAAACTGGACAAGTCCTTTAGCTTCTTTAGTTTCTATAAAGATTCCAATGTGGCAGTATGTGGTGGCTTATGTGGCAGCATTACTAGAATTCCCAACGACCTCTTTATTGCATCTGATAGTTATCTCGCACGCACCTCCGCCAAATCGCGATCAATGTTTTTTATTGGTGTAACGTAACTTAGGAGACAGATAATGATTTATTTTTGGTAATGCTTAGTTATGTATTTGGCGAGTAATTACGATAGAAAACATTCACAATTTTCCTCATTCTAAACTAAGATTAACAAGTACAACAGGTGTGCAGAAGAGGTTCATGCAGCTTAAGATTAAGTCTGCATTAATATTTCATTCATTATATCGTGTGTTTGCAGCCGAAAACGTAGCAAAGCGTTGGGGCATCAGTCGCGATCAGCAAGACAAGTATGCGTGTGAGAGCCAACGGCGCGCCAGTCATGCTCAGCGCTCAGGGCATTTCTCTGCTGAGCTCATCCCTGTACCTGTACCCAGCCGACGTGGGGGCGATGATATGCTCGTCATGGCCGATGAATATCCTCGCCCAAACACTACCATGGAAACTCTCACTAAACTTAAACCTTGCTTCGTCACTGTAAGTCTAGCAATTATTTCTTGCAATTTGTAACTTTTGAATAGGTCTATTTTTGTAAGAACGCTCTCGATTGAATAAAAATTGAGCTAAATCTTACTAACTTGAACTAAATCTAAATTATAAAAAAGATTCAGTAATCTAACTAAAAACTAATCTTTCCGTCGAGAATGAGTTTTGTAGTATAATTTGTTCATCAATGCACCAGATTCCCTTCTGTCAAAGTTTCAATGATACAAATTTCGGCTATATAAACATAAATATAGCTAATCTTCTATTATTTTGTAGAAGCATTTTGAAAATGCGCTGATTGAAAAATGTTCTTTCAATACACGGAAGGGCAGCATAATTTCTACGGCATAAAACCCATTTCTTTCTCCTGATAATTAGCTTATGGCCATGTACTATGATAGCTTGCGTACAAAATGATTTCAGTAATCTTACTATTCCCGCCATCATACTGTTTTATGGACTCGTAGCTTGAGAATAAAATGTTAGTTCCCCACTTGCAATGTGTGCACAGGACGGCACTGGCACTGTGACGGCAGGCAACTCGAGTGGTGTTAATGACGGTGCGGCGTGCCTGGTGTTGACCACCGCAGACAAGGCCACCACCGCGCCCCTGGCCACCATCCGCAGCTGGGCGCAGGCTGGCATCGAACCTGCCTACATGGGCGTGGGCCCTGTACCTGCTATTCGAGAAGCTGTCAGTAGTGAATTGATATAATTATCATACGTGTTCCGATCATTTAAGTTTTTTTATTTGTATTATGCTTGATATGTGACGATATCTGCATCAATTCTGGTCGAGACGAACCTCTTGGTGATAAATCTATTTAACTAATTTAATTGTTACGCAAGTCTATTAATGCGTTGCAGCACTAGTTGATATCATTATTTACGTTATAAGTTATTATCGTGGCCTAGAATATTTTCATAAAAATTAATTTCATTTTCACTTTCTCTTTATTGTGATTTGACGGAATTTATATTGTGGAAATATTGACACTCTTCTTTAGCCTTATAGACTATTGATAAGAATATTTTTCTATTCCAATACTGGGATCATTTCAATTCAATCTATCAACCCAGTTTTGATAAAACTGAAATTCTTGCTATTATGATCTCTTCTCTTTTGATCAGCTGAACAAGGCTGGTTGGTCAGTAGAAGACGTCGAGTTGTGGGAGCTGAACGAAGCGTTTGCAGCGCAGTCGGTGGCTGTCACGCAAATGCTTGATGTTGATTCTGCCATCGTGAACGTCAGCGGCGGCGCTATAGCTCTGGGCCATCCTATCGGCTCCTCTGGTGAGCTTCATGGAGCCTTTCTTGTAATTTAAGATGAAAATAGCGAGATCACAATGTATGAGAAAAAAATGGTAAGAAAAATGGTCAACATTGGGAAGATGGGAAAAATGGAAGAAAAATGGTCAACATTGGGTCAACATTCCCAATGGTCAACATTGGGAAGAGCCTGATAATTATTGAGAGAATTGTTTGTTCTTGAACTGTTTTAGCAATGATGCCACCTGCCAGAGCCCTGCCTTAATTATTAATTGAATTGTGACCCTCGCAGGGAGCCGCGTGCTGGTGACTTTGCTGCACGGGCTCAAGAGGCTGGAGAAGAGGAAGGGCGTTGCGGCGCTGTGCGTGGGTGGCGGCATGGGCATCGCCATCTGTGTGGAGAGGGAGGTGTAGTCTGAGCACTTGATCTACTGACGGTAAATCCCTTAACCAAGATTTAGGTACGAATATCATTTGTGACGGTTGATGCATCTGTACACAGTGTTATTAAATGGCAGCTGAAAGAGCTTGTTGCACGCGAATATGTCTCCAATGGCTTTTCTGGTCTCAGCATGCACCAGCGATTTACAGATCTTCGTTATTCAGTATAAGTTCTATTCCACTTTAAATTCAGAAAACGACTTGGTCTATGCAAGTCTGGCATTTCAATTTATCTTGGGGTTTTCTGTGCGATGATGATCTGGTCCGCTAGGAAACCGTGTTGCTTCTTCCGTCTTTGTTTTGTGGTCACATTTACTTGCCGCCTCGCAAATTTTCAGATTTGAGTGTCTTTTATTTGGCTGTAATCACACTATCTCGGCAGTTGCACAAAAATTGTTGGCCTGCTTTGCTACTAAGACGGTATTCTTCTATTGTGTCTTCCTTGAATACGTGCCGGGTAGCACGTATATATCGGAGAGCCTGGAGGATTTTATATTCATTTCCTCAAACTATCTTTCATCTAAGTGCCTTTATTATTCTCTAAGAATTTTAAAGTGAGTTCTTCACGAGTCTGTTAGATCATTCATAGCAATTGACGCTGGAATGCCATATAAGTGTTACGTTGGTGCAATAACAATTACTCGATGAGTAATGTTTATTTTGTGATCAGAATTTATTTGTCAAATTTTTTACATTGAATTATGTCCATAAATTGGCTTCAATTTTTTTTAGTAGATGAAATCCTCATATCTTGTTTCATCACTCTAAAGTCTAATCAACACTGAAAATAGAGAACGATCATTCATGCGAGAATACGGACCTAAACTCGGAATTGTCAGGTATTTATTGTTATATTTACTTGAGATAAAAAAAGACGAGTTATTCTTAAATTATGTCCTCGAAAAAAGTTGCAATTTTATGGTTACAATTTATATTTGTCAGTTTTTATGAGCTCATGAATAACTATATGATCTGATAAAGCTTTTAAGATGTTGTTACAGAAATTTCATACATTTGCTTGATCTTAGACCTATAATATTCGTAAGCAAAAACAATGATGTGTTGTAAATGTCTAGCTAAAATTTTATTCCTTGTGTGCCGTGTTGTAAATGTCTAGCTAAAATTTTATTCCTTGTGTGCCTTATATACGTACTAGCTGCAGTTGCCTGATTGAATTCGACCATTTATAAACTAGAATGTAACGCTGTGTACCTTCCTTGCTTGTGTTTGGCAGCTACTGTATTAACGAGTGTTTTCTCATATAATAGGTTTTGAACAAATTACAAATTTGAATATTTATGGTTTAACACAAACAACGCAAGGTACCAAAGCAAGAGGAAAATCGATTGTTAGTGTCCCACTTTTTAATCCCAACATTCCGAGTCAAGTGTTGTGCGATTTCTTTAAATAATGTTTGTACCTATGTCCGCAATCCTTCTTACCTTCAGCTACTTCTGTTGGCAGGTCCTGATTGATTTACTTGTTAAAGCATTTCAATTAATCTGTATTCTTCCATGAGAGTGTTTTATCAATGTTTTTATGCACTTTTTTGTTGCTGTATTTATAGCTGAATTATATATAGCCGAAAAGGATGATTAGGCCTAAAGATGAAGACATATCGGTGTAAAGAAAACTCTAGGTCTAGGATGATCACGATTTCATATAACTATTATCCAAGAAATGCCAAAATACCTATTCCATCTGAAATAGCGTGATTGTGTCGATTCTGAGCTTGAGACGTTCGAGTGCGTAAAAAACCGTTAATCGTGGTCGATATACAAGATCTCCAAGTTGATTCGAATTTCACAGGGAAAGATCCGCATTGATATCAATGGCTTAAGTGGAGATATCATTGATTCCCTGAGGTTCTCTATTAAATACATGGAAATCAGTCGAGTTCCATGGAAGATATTTATAAGTTGAATTTCTTTGACCATTGGCATCTCTGGTTGTCACATTATGACCTTGTTCGCGCAATATTTGTTTAAGCTATGTAGTTCCTCTTATCCATCCAATGTTATGTTATCGCTACTTGCTGAATTAACCTAGGATGTACTTTACGATTACAGTATTAATAGGGTTAAAGCTTTCGGTGTCTAGCGCCAATGACGCTGTAACCCTGGGCCCAGTATTTTCTGTCACGAGTGTACTGTTGATTTAACCTGCAATATTAAAGATAATAAACTTTTGCAATATAATGGTCGTAATGGTAGAGGTGGCATTTATATCATTCTGTAGTATTAAGTTAATTATTGTTTACTCGACTAGTTGGAATATGTTTTTGGATTGAATTAGGGTGAGCCTGGTATAACACACCGAGAAGGTGAGTTTGTTCCATTAGTAGTGTAAGTGGTTTCAGGGCCATTACGATTGAGGTTTCATCTGACGCTATTATTATCACTGGCTATCTTAAGTTAATGGAACTTAGAGATGCAAGTAGTGGGAGCTGCACGCTGTTTGACGGATATACTTTTTAGTCTTTTTATAAGTTTGTATCGTTGGTATATTAAATAACTCCTTTGCCAAATGTTAGTCCTTCCATTCCTCTAAGCAAAGATTGATGCAGAGACGGACAAAATCAGAGTTGTTATCAGTTATTCAAATTTATTTCATTTGATACGACTGATAAAAGGTTATTTGCTAATGTAATGTAGTATAATATCAGTCTATGATATATCGATGTGGAATAAGTGAACATGTTGACAGCAGCACGAAGTAACTCCTTCATAGAATGGCAAACGAGACAAAGAGAGCACATGGGCAGGAGAATATTGACCGTATCTTAGAGATACAGGGATAATCAGAAGGCAAGTGCAAGAGCGAGCAAATAACCCAGCGGGAGGACCTCTCCCACCGCATTAAAATCAAACACAGAATATACTTCATAATAAAGCCCCGTGGCAACTCAAAGATCAACTGATACAATTTCAATCAAACGTTACATTATTAATCAAACATCAAGGGATTCGCAATAACGAAAATTGCATGTAATCTAGGTATAAACGTCCGCCAGAGGGTGCTCCGTCATGACATGATGACAATGTCTCATGCGGCTTTTTGATGGAAAATCTACATGCACGACGAATCTCTTCCCCAAATGCCGTATGATGCAGTCATCTGGAAATTAATACTTAGCAAATCTTGGACAGTTATATTGGTCACTTTATTAAGAAAATTTCCCCGAACAATAAATAAAGATCCATAACATTTCAGTAATATAGTCACCCTCAAAATATTAATCACCGTTCAGAAAAGCAAGAAATTCACGCCTTTGTCAAATGGAGAAGGGGAGAACACAAAGAAATCGAAGATGTGCTAAAGGTAACGCGGTACGGCATTAACTGATCCATTACGATTGCAGCACAAGTCCACTCAACGAGCCACAGCACCGGCAAATGATTGCAGCCGCTAGACAATAATATTGTTACTACTCAAAGACTAAAGAAGTTGAAGCCGCTTAAGGCTGAAGCGTAAGCGTTGTGTTGAAACAGCAGAGATTGGCCTCTTGTCAGGGATGGTCCAGTACGGCAAGCAGCTCTACATATCTGCACGAGAATTGTAATCATGACAAGGAATAATTCGATATATATGAGCTAAAGTGATGTTTGCCTTCACTCAAAAAAACCGGTTGACTTATTCAAAAGAATATAATTAAATTTCGCCAAGCAAAAAAACCGTGACTCCTGAATGCGACAATGAGGAAATATAATCAATCCTTTCTTCATTACCTTATATTCTTAAAACAAAACGAAATTAGTAAGGATTGATTTTAGTAGAATTTCTAGCAAAAAGATACTAAAAAGTTATTATTTATTGATATATTTTAGAGTTAAAAATTAGCTGCAATAGGATTACCAACCAGAACATGGTATTATTCGAGTGCACTGATGTCTTTAAATAGAATTACCAATAGTATAGAAATTCGCAGCAAATATCAGTTACTTACTATCGAGCTTATGGGAGAGTTTGGCGCGGTGGAGAGGGGAAAGTGAGGAGAAACCTGGTGGAGGAGAAGTCGGTGGCCACACTGATGGGATCGCCTGCTGTTGCTGCTGTCGTAGTTGCTGGAAAGCAGCCAGCTGTTGTTGATGGTGTTGCTGCTGTTGTTGGTGTTGCAACAATGAAACCTGCTGCTGTGAGCTCAGCGTTGCCTGAAACCCACTGGTGGTACCTAGGTGCTGCTGTTGGGACAAGGTTGAGCTGTTGGGTGTCTGCTGGTTCTGTGTCGGGAGAAGAGACGACCAGGTCGAGGCTGGGCCATCCATCAGGCGCAGCCACTCGGGGGGAGAATCAGATCTGGAGTCGGTCAGCTGACCCGAGGATACAATTGCTGGGTCTAGCGCGGTCAGGTCTGGAGCACCGTTGCTATTGTTTGTCCATCCTGATCAACAAAATATATTCCAAGTCAATACATGAAATGAGGCTATACAGTTTTTCTTTTTGCCGGAACTGGTAGCAATCATTTCATTTTGGATTTCATACGGTATTAAAATTAGTAGTTGGCTACATTAAAGTGACACAGTGGTCTAATACGAATAATATATTCAAAGCTTTGATCAATCATGAATCACCTTTGTGGGAGTTGTGAAGAGCAAGCTGGTGAAGAATCGACTGTTGAGGTACCTGTGACGGCTGACTGAAATTGAATAAGTTAGATATCACATTGTTACCCGGTGTGTTAACTGACTGCTGCTGAGCCTGGGCCAAATTCATGCCAGAGAAAGCGTTAAGTTGACTCAGGGAATTTTGCTGCTGAGGAGCGTTCAAATTGCAGAAATTGAGACCCAGCCCCCCATTATTGAGAGAACTAAGTGAGAGGCCATTCAGAGAAGCGAGTCCATTGACATTGCTGAAGGAACTGAGGCTTGGGTTAAGAGCGTTAGTGGAAGACTCAAGGGTATTGAGGCTATTCATTCTATTCAGTGATGTCAAGGTGGGGAAGGCATTCTCTAAGTCTTTCATGGCAAAGGAGTCTTGTTTAGGCAACGAAAGACCTGGTGGAGGTCCTGGTTGCTGCTGAGCCAGAGAATGAGCTGAAGAGGCCTCCAGAGCCGCAAGTAAAGGATTTGTGCTCACCCCACTCCTTCCCGCAGAAGGATCCAGCCCAGGCTGGTGCCCTTGTAAGTTACTAAGCATACTCATACCAGGAGGCGGTCCGTGAGGTAAACGATTTGATATCAACCCATTAAGTTGAGGTGATTGATTCGAGAGATTATTACCAAGAGATGAACTAATACCGGAGAATAGTTTATTTATATCCACTCTGTTACGGGATACGTTATTAGAAACATTATGGATAGAAGTAACAACGCCATTGAAGCCCGGCGGAGGTAGCCTTGCAGCCCCGATGCCACCAAGACTCTCTCCGCCGCTGCTCATGAATGCTTTGAGGCCTGCATGCCCGTTCTGAGAGTCAACTTGTTGACGTAGCTGCTGTAATTGGTGGAATGACTGCTGTTGTTGCCTTTGCTGCTCATGTAGTTGATGTCTCTGAAGTTGTTCTTTCTGTTTTTCCATTATTATGTCCTGAGCTAATGCTTTATTTGTTTCCTCGAAAGGATCGAAGCCTAACTCGTCATCTATGGATTCGCAAGCTTTGGTAGTATTGCTCCAAATGTCGGCAGTAGCACAGGTTGCGTTCACAGACAAAGGTTGCTCGGTGCGATCGCCGATATCCCAGTCACCTGAATCAACATTGATGAGTTTAAAAATAATGAGGAAAACCATGACAAAAAAAATAAATTCACAGCAACAGGTGTTTTAGTAACACAGTATAGAAATCTGATTTGGAAAAAATGACCTAGGTTGCTGCTACAAGCTTCTTCAACAATATGAACATCTAATCAAGTCTTAATTTTCTGCTTCGAGAGAAGATACCTACCTTTATCTTCAATGATCTAAACTAGGATTTACAAAGAAGCTAATGGTAATAATAATAAACTTATTTAATTTGGTTGAAAGAAAACCAAGCAGATGCATAATAATGAAACTCAAAATTGACTTTAGCTCACCAGAATGAAGGGACGCGGAGGATAATTGCTGTGTAGTCTCGTGGGAATCAACAACATTATTAAGGGAAGTGATGATGTGATCATGAAAAGGATCATTGGCAGCATCAGCCGGTGGTGTGACATCGCGCAAGAAAGAAGGTTCACTAACATCTTCAGCCCGAGTTTCCGGAGACTGGTCATGCTCTCTTTCAGTAGTTATGACTTCTGTTATTAGAATTTCATCTGATTTCTCTAAATCAGTGTCAACAATGCTAATTGGTTCATGATTTCCAGGCACATTTTGTGTCTCAGTCGGATTGTAAGAATCATTGCTTAGGTCAGAATGATCTAAATTAGTGTTCGAGTCGGCAAGTCCGTTGTCAAACTGAGATTCTCTATTGCTGCTGGGAGACTGGGACTTCTGTCTTCTCTGTACATGAGCAGAGACAGGCGACCGGGAGGTGGCTTGCTTGCGTTTTGCTGGCGTCAAGTCAGAAGGAGATGACGATGCCGGCGGTGTGGTCGAGAGTACCGAGCTCAGGGACGAGGCAGAACTCTCGGAGGATGCAGCACTTGAAGGGCAAGGACTCGCTCGTGCTGCTGTAGAGCGGCCGCTGCTACTGGCACTGTCCTCATTTTGACCTCTGCAAGGAAGGTCATAAATGAGACCACAAGCCAGCACATATTACAGTCAATGCACTACAGTACATGTTTAACATCAAGGTATACAGAAAAGTTTTCACCCATCACCTTATAAGATTAGAATAAGTACTTTATTCAAAGGCAATCTCAGTATCCTATTAGAACCATATTAAAATCTGAACTTCAGTGTGCATAAAACGATGACAAACATAACAACCTTCGGCCGGTGTTCTGGTGGTCTCGAGTAGGAGTGTTACGGGGAGAAGAAGTTGCACAACCAGTAGAACCATTGATCACATTGCTATTGGAACCATTATGCTTTCTATTCTTTTTGCCTTGGTTGGAAGATCCACTTGAATTACTGTTAACAGAGTTCTGACTACCAGAAGCAGACGACACACCGCTACTACTGCCGCTGTAGTTGGAACCCAAATCCTTACTGCCCCCGAGGTTCAGAGATGGCCAACCCTCACCAGGACTGATAACAATAGAATCAAGTGGCTGTATACCAGCAGTGTGGAAACTGCCACCACTGATATTACTGCTATTGTTACTGGCACAAATGCCATTTATAGTAGCAGAGGTGCGACCGTTTCTTGAGCTGCTGCTTCCACCCACATTCCCACCATTGGACTCAGACAGACTATCTTTATGGGTCCGCCTGCCGCTCGAGTGAGACGACTCAGTGCCTGTCGAGCCACTCAAGCCACCAATACCCCTGGAAAAAAGCACTGATTATTGGACAGAAAGCCTCATTGATGAATATAAATTTCATCAACAGATATATGCTAGAAATTTGAAACTTATAAATGCTGAATCAATATACTTAGCCAATAAATTTACCAATAAGCCAACTAACCCATTTTTAGTAGATCCCACACCCAGATAATGTTCCTGCAGCTTCTTCTCAAATTCTTGATGCTTGCCTTGCTGCATCTCTTCTTTAGTAAAACTGGCCGCTTCATCACCTGTAAACAAACAAAACTCATTCAAATTAACTCTCAGAAATGACATCTCATGGAATATTCCATTATTTGGATGAAACCTTTTGTTAAACAATACAAGTTCATTAATACAAGTTTCTAATTGCCAGCTTACCCAATTCATGGAGATACATGCAATCATTTTTAGGACATTGCTGATTCTTCATGAAATGGGAACAATATTTAGTGGTGCCTAAGGAGACCTTGAGAGTTCTACCATCCACATGAATATTATTGACTTGCGAGATGGCCTTCAAAGCATCCTCAGCTCTCTGGTACGTGACATAAGCAGAAGCACTTGGACCCTGGGCACAAGGAGCAGAAAGCATTTCATTATCCATGGACCATAATAAATAGCAGAATAAATTTTCATGACAAAGCAATGCTATTAGTTTACTAGTAGCATTGAGTAACAAACATGTCCTAGGAGCATTTAATTGCAATTTTTTTATTTGCAAGTCAATTCAATCCAAACAAATTAAAATTATTGCCATTGAAAATTTTCAGAGTTTACCACTATGTGCCCTGAAAATAAATAATAGAATCTCCCACTTTCAGCACAGTTCATAGTAAAATTTTGTACAAGATTTTTTTTTACCAAGAGACAATGAAGTTCTGCAGATACTCACCTGAGACCCAGCATAACTTGTTGTGTGGTTAATAACAACTTTATGAATTTTACCAAATTTTCCAAAATACTCCATTTTTTTCAGAGCCTGAAAGTAAAAATAAATAATTTATCAACAAATTAATAAATATTTCATTAGGTATGAAAAATTATTGTGAATAATTTATAAAAAAAGTAGCTTCTCAGGAGAATTATAATTATCTATTTAAGGGCAATATTATGGATCAACAACTAGCATAACAATATCTTTTGTTCATATTAAGAAAGAAATAAGAATATAAAATGCACACAACAATATACAAACTTTAACCCATTAAATTACTTACCTCAGCATCTGCAAGTCTACTTGATAACCCCACCACAAAAACGAGATTCTTCTGAACCACTCTGACATTGGAGAGATGCTTCCGATTCTCAGTGACTTTCTGCTTGCGGATGAGCTCCTTCTGCTTCTTCTCCTGCTTAATCTTCTGCAATCTGAGAAATTTCAGCAATGCTTAGTGAATAATTTTTTTTCATACATAGCTTTCATGCTAGGTGTGTTTTTAGAATGCAGTCACTTTTTTCATGATAAAGATTGAACAACTGCTATCACATGATGGTTGGGTGCACTCACTCCTCCTGAGTTAGAGGCTTGTAGTCAGCAGGACTCTCGGTGTAAGGTTTCCTGCATGCAGGACACAGGCCATTCTCATCAGTCCGAAGCCTATGCCAGCAGAAGCGGCATATCTGATAGCCACAAGTGCAGGGGAAAAAGTTGATATCATCCATCTCCAGCAACTCCATGCACAATGGGCACTCAGGGCACTCGTCCGACTGGTTATGATTCATTTTCTTGGTTTTTGCTGCAATGAACAAAATGTAATCATTGCTGATGAATATATGACTTCAAAGAACAGTATTAATTACAACATCAAAATGCTTAAACACTAGTTTGTATTACAGTGGAAACATCTAAATATTATCGAAACTTAGAAATTATACATATTCATAATTGCAAGTTTTAATTGAAAAATGAAATCAAATTGTATAATATAAATTTATTCATAATACCTTTGGTCTTGGAAGTACAAGAATAAAGTACAATAATGCTTTAGAATAGCTAATTCACCAATAGTGGACTAACACTGACCAATCTGAAAAAAATGAAAAAAAATCAGTGAAACATCTTTAAAAATACTATAAATAACTTGAATATATGAATATATCTGCATTTTTCTTACTTTGAAAATAAACTTACGCACACCAATAAAAATCTAATTTCAATACTTTATTTAACCCTTCCAAACCTGTTTAGCACTGCTTACATTCTAGGGATAGAAATTAAAATCAGATCCAGGCAATATAATAAGACAGCATATAGGATATATATATATATATATATTAGATGGCAGAATTTACTTGTTTACACACGTGCGATCGATGACCAGAGAATTCGTTGATTTATATTATTAGTGCTGTCTCTTATACACATCTAGATGTGTATAAGAGACAGATGCACTACAGTACATGTTTAACATCAAGGTATACAGAAAAGTTTTCACCCATCACCTTATAAGATTAGAATAAGTACNCGTCCGGACGCTGAAATTATTTTCAGAGTAATTTTAAGTTTATATTTTGTTGTATCCACATTATTTATTTTATTGTATCCACTATACCATTCATATGTACTTCAGTCATTTCAAATTCAATTTCAAATGTTGTAAAACCATCTCCAGCTTGATAATGAAAATTGTATTTTCGAAACGTTGCAATCTATTAAAATGTCATTCGGAAACCTGCTTTTCGATCTCCCGGCTCCAGCTAGAAATTTGGTTCGACTAATTGAAAAGACGAACAAAAAGATTGTAAATAAAAAGCATGCTCTGGTCTTCAATCAAACTTGCATAAAAGAGAAGCTTTTGCCAAACTACACAAATATATATATATATATACATGTACACACTTGTATTCTATTAATATTCTAGTGATGGGCTTCTAATAACAGAAAAATATAAATTTTTTAAATATATAGAATAAATTAATAGAAGTCATCTAGAAGGAAATTTGCGCCCTCAGAAATGATTTGAAAAAGTTACGTATCACCATCTTGGAAAATAGATATTTTTCAGTCAGATCTCAAGACAAATCAGATGACATCTACTTTTTATTGGAATTTTCCAGTTCCACTATCACAAATTTAGAAAATTTTGAGGAAAAATCTTGAAACTCATGCTCCTTGGATCAGGTGGAATTCAAGAGTTAAAATATGTCAACACATGCGTAACATATTCTGATAAAAGAATCCTCTGAGCAGATCATTATTTGTGGAATCTTGAGGACTGGATTAGAGTTCATTAGAAGCTTTTTTGATGAAATAGCCATGCAAAAACAAAGCAAAACTGGGTGGAACTGATTTGCAGCAAATCTGTAGTATTATATCAGTTTACAGCCATGTCATACTAGCCCAGATTATGCACAACATAGGACAACAATGCCTATTCAACACTTATTAAAATTTAATCCTTAGCTCTGGAGGTAGCAAGGCATAATTGCGGTGAATAAAAGAATCTACCAAAGTTAACCATAGCTGGCTATCTCCAATCAATAAGGAACTCGTGGCATGACAATGTGGAAAATGTACTGATTGACATCATATGGATGGGCACATGTTGTCCTTTGACACAGCTAATTAATTCACAAATTAACTGTGATTCGAGTGCAATTACTTGGCATCTTCAAGAGCAATAAATTGGGTTCCTAATGTTTAGCCAAATTTAAGATGCAGAATGTTATTCCAAATTGTAGTTCATTAATTCAATATCCATTTGACAGGATCATTTCATCCAATAATATACAATCCAATAATTCATTATATTCCAGTCTCAAATTTACTCTGTGAGATAGTCTGGGCACATAATTTCAAAAAAGGTAAGAGATTGTAAGTTCATCAGCCAATCATTGACTGCCTTTCAAGCAAAATCCACCAATCATAGACAAGAAAATGGAGTGTAAGTACTTGCGTTCACTTAGCAAATTTTGAAAGTGTGGCCCCTGGACTTGACTGGCAAGATGTCAAGTGTAATGCAGACTTCCCTCTGAAAACATCAAGTTTCTATTTCTCTAATAAAACTTCCAATTTTAGTTAAATATCCAGGGACTGACCAATGAGTTGACAACTTGAGAACTAAATACACTAGCAGGTTAACCCAGCAGTGCTTAGGCTTGAGTCCTGCAAGTTCTACAATTTGGGAGTCCTAGTCCCATAAGTAATAATAAAACTTATGTGCTCTTCTTTTAAGTAACACTAAAATAAATTTTATGTAGCCAAATACTCCTACATTGATAAATTTGAAACATAATGATTGAATTGATTTGGCGAGTTTAGTCAAAATGTGCTAGTTATTTGCATGTAAGGAGCCTGGACAGGTGTAGATGAGCAGGTGAAACTGCAACCAAAGGAAGATTAAAAATGCAATCATGAATGACTGATAACCTGATGGGATGTAAAATATTAGAAAGGCAAGAACAATGAATACCCTTAAAACTGGCAGCAGCTTCATGTCCATGCTGTAACTTATAAACTAGGGGGATCTTAAAATGAGGTTTGAATAAAGCAAAAGATAAGGGTACAGATCAATCAAGGACACACTGTGAGCAAATTTGAATGAATATGCTTACTGAAACTAATTGAACCTGTAATTGAATGATAAACTAACTTTTTTTTAACTAAACCATATCAGTGAAAAATTAACAAAATAAAGTAAAATGCAAGGGAACACATGAAAATGAATTCACACCATTAGCTAGTTAACATCAATAAAATTGTAATAACAATGAAGATAAATAATAACCTAAATTTTCAAAACAGAATTATATTGACACTCTTGTGCTTTATAATATATCATTACTCCCACTTCTTTATAATATATCATTACTCCCACTTTGAATTTTAATAAAATTGAGCAATTAATGAAAAGTGATGTTTGGTAAAAGAATGCACAAAGGTTGGGCTACACAGTAGCCTAATTCAACCCCAGGTTACAATACCATGTGCCTCTGTAAAGAGTATACACACATTTCCATATTGGTTAGTGCCCTTGAATAACCCTCAAATTATGGAATGTAACATCTGTTTGTGAAACGTCATGAAACAATAAGAAATTATAACAATATTTTAGATCAGTGGTTCCCAAACTTTTTCAGGCTGGCACCCCCTTTGGCTCCCTAGTGAATTTCTAGCGCCCCCCCCAGGATGGAATTCTAAAATTTACAGTTCATATATTATTTTCGCTACACCTAGACCAGTTTTTCGATACAACATTATTTGAGGCAAAAAAATTAACTTCTTATAGGCTTAAACACGTATAGGTATTAGGTAAACTGGTTAAGGTATAAAAAGTTTCTAGCTATAAAGTCATCACTTAACTTGGAAATGTTGCGTGTCTGCAGGGCAGCTTGCACAGAGTTGCACTCAACAATTAAAATTATAAAAAGTACTAGTTCATTAAAGATTTGTCTCTTAATGTGACAGCAAAGAACTTTTCCATGATGCACACAATAAACACGCAATTCATGGGACTGATGGGAGCAAGACTACACAGAACCACGAAAGTAAGCTCCCGGCATGCAACTGACAGAAACAAATGACGATCGCGGATGCAGGGATGGCAGACAAAATCATTCAGAATTTGAAGTGAATTCATTAAGATAAATTCAACATAATAGGGCAAAAAATGGAAAAAATTCAAATCTGGAACGTATAAATAGGTTTTTATAATTAAAAAAAAACTTTCAATCAGTTAACTCTCAGAATGGAATGTGGATCAAGTCTAATTATTGTGAAATCGAACTTGACATAACCAAAAGCTATGCCTGTGACGCCGCCATGTCAGATATGATCGTGAAAACACCATGTGAATGTACGCCTTGGATAAGTGGACGTTTATCTCATACTTTTGTGTGATATCGAAAACTTTGTTAGTATTGTCCAATCGTGAGAATTTTTACGATTCTGGATGTGTTTTATTTTTATTTTAGAACGTATTCATTGCAAAAATGTGTCCGCTAGCCTACAGATAAACGACTAATTAACTTGATTAGTCGTTGGCAACACGTGATTGGATTTCAAACCACGCGCGATTTCGGAAGCACGGTAGGTCCCAATGAGCTCAGTTTATAAATTTTCATTGCAGTGGAAGGTGGTGTAACGCGGTGGTAGGGTTGGTATTTCGATACGTTTTCTTATATTGACATGAGAATATATTACATATACAGAATTCCACACTGGCCCCCCCCCACAGACATACGCCTCTTTCTTGAAATTTAGTACGCTGCAATTTTAAAAGATAAAGGTTAAATACAATTGCGTATTTCACAAATAGAATCCCATTTAGTGAACCATTATGTTTTTCAGCTGTTTTAACTGTTTCAGCACTAGAAACCTAGGACGTCGCGGGCGAATTTACGGCTGGACTCGTGGCCGGTCTCACGACCAATCTCCAAATTCAATTATCAAATAATATCTCCCAAACTAATGCACGCAGCTCTATGAAACTTGGAACACGTATTCATCAGAACCTAACGGTGATGTTTAGCTTGTAATTTTTTCTTAATTTCACCATCATTCGCGAGTTGCGCGTTTCTTGCGAAAGAGGCCGAAATTCGCAGTGATCAACGAATTTCTTTCAAACTATTGAACAGATTTGAACGAAATTTTGAAAACACATTCCTCACTACCAAACGATGATTTTTTAGCTTATAACAGTTCTTTCGAGTTTACCTTCGTTTGCGAGTTTCTTTCATTTCACCGTCATTCTTGATTTCACACTTCCTCATATTCGGCCTGTATCTCCGGGTAATTTATCACTTAAATTCGCGGCGATCATGAAATTTTTTCTAAACTACAGAACAGATTTCAACAAAACTTTGTATATAAATACCCAACCTCTCAACGGTGATGTTTAGCTCGTGACATTTCTATTTTGCTTTCGTTCGCGAGTTATACAAATATAGGCGGAACGGCCGGTTTTTCTACCAGCCGGTTTAACCAATCTTGAGCCTCATACGTATATAGCCGTTTAACTCGCAAACGATGGCAAAACGAAAAAATTGTAAGCATCACCGTTGCTGAGGTTAGGTATTTAAATACTAA